ATCCAGATATACTCGCATTCACGGAAACGTGGCTGTCTCAGCACATCACACACGGTGAAGTACATCTGTCTTTCTGCGCACCATTTAGATGTGATCGCTTCGTTCGCCGACAACTCGGAGGCGTTGCCCTTTAGATGTGAACTTGACCTTTTGCGTACGTACATATTTCAGCCGGCAGATAAAACTGTCGAAGCTCTGTCGGTAATGATTTACACTTCTTCGGCCCAACTTACAGTTGTACTTGTGTATAGAAGCCCTGGAATCACGTCCAAATAGGTGCTTGACTTTATTCGCTCCCAGTCCGCAAATATGTGTTTGCTACTGCGTGACTTCAATCCACCAGAAGTTTTGCTGGGCAGGTCTTTCTTGCAACTCGGCGGAAGATACTTTCTTGAGCTTACGCTATAAGTACCGTTGCATCAGTTCGTGCTTGCACCAGTTGCATTTTTTCCTCCTTTTTTCTGTGTATTGCGGCACAGTAGCTGAGGTGTTCCCCACTAGCTAACGTGTATGATGATGAATACTGAATACTGAATGATGTTCGTGGATCTCCACACTAGGTACATGGATGCTTAAGTGCCGTTTATTTTTGACCTAGTTTTTGCGAAACCATTAGACTTTGTAGATGACATCACTTACAAATGTCTTAGGTGCCAGTGATCACATCTGTTTATCATTCAGCTGAGCCATATCCAAACATATGGCGTGTTAACTTTCACGCAATGCGTACAAAATTTCTGGGTTGCGTTGCGAGCTTTCGAAGGCCGATACGGTTCATTGCGGTCTGGGATAAATTTAAGTTTTATCTCGCGAACCGTCTACTCCCGACATCACGCTTGCGAGGAGAAAAAACAAACGAGCACGGCGTATTCGTGAATAGATACCTGCTCCAGAAGCACTGTTGGTGCTGGAAGACCTACCATCAACTAGTACCTATGATAGGTACCGCGAGGCTAGAAATAGGTGTACATAACACTTGAGGAAAGCTCGGCTGTTGTACGAAAAGGGATTGATTGATGGAGCTTCGGAAAATCCGAAATTCTTCTCTTATGTTATGATGCGCTGTGGTTCAATTTCGGTAATTCCAACTTTGATGTGGGCCGATGGAACTCATGCGTGTGCGGATTGGGACAAGGCTCATGTACATGGTGAGCAGTATGTAGGCGCTTTTTGTACGTGAGGCCGCGTTGACTAGCGTCAAGTTTGTACCCAGAGTTCTTATTTAGCGGAATTTACTGTGGTGGAAACGCAAGTCATTAGGCGGCTGCAAGCACTGAACCCTTCTAATGCAGCTGGGCCTAATTCAGTTCACTCGAAGCTTCTGCATGAGTTGGCGGTGGAACTAATTCAACCGCTGACGATGATGTTTCATAAGTCACTTGACAGCTGCACATTACCGTCTGAATGAAAGGAGGCTGTTATCTGTTTTATCTTCAAAAATGGCGACAGGAGTCTGTCAGCAAATTATAGGCCGGCCAATTTGACTGGCGCCGTGGTCAAACTGTTTGAAAAGCTGATGAGAGATTTGATGGAAGGTCACCTGAGTAGATTTAATCTATTCAGTAGTGCACAACAAGGATTCCGGAAGGGGTTTTCCTGTCTGATGAATTTGTTGGTTGCTCGTAAATCTTGGGCCGAAGCAAGTGGACAACGGCCACATAGCGGATGTGCTTTTCGTCGATTTCTCGAAAGTATTTGTTAAGGTATTCCACTTGAGGCTATCACGAAAGCTGAGCTCCTACGACGTATCTGGTCGCGCCCTTCACTGAGTATCTGCGTTGTTGCAGGGAAGAGAGCAGTGTGTATGTGTGGGTCGCACTTTATCCTTTAGGCAAGCGGTCCTTAGCGATGTCCCACAGGGCTCGGTCCTTGGACCGATGTTGTTCTCCATCTACGTAAACGATCGTCCTGGAGAGCTTGGGGTATCATCGCTATTGTTTGTTGATGACCTTAAGCTATGGAATGTTGTAAATGTCCCTGGGGGTTCTGATGCCATTCAGCATGCCCTGGACAGGCTCTGGGACTGGTCTACTTTGTCTACTGCCCATTAATCAAGCTAAGTGTTCCGTCCTTCATGTAGGCGAAACTTTCCTACTTACGAGATACGTGCTCGGTGGGGTCGAACTCCCCCATGTCTCCAACCAGATAGATCTAGGTGTCGTCCATTCCTCGTCTGTGCATTCTGGTGACAACTGGAAGAAGACCGTAAGTAGGGGTTTCAGAATGTTATGGTTAATACGCCGATCTTTCGGGGTCTTAACTGCCAACATATTTGTGAAGCTGTTCCCAGCTTTCGTTTGGCCCCATCTGGAATACTGCGTCCAGGTTTGCCCACCCTGCCTTGTTCGGGACAAAATGGAGCTCGAGAGGGTTTTGAGAGTAGGTATCAAGTTGATCGAGCGGTTACGGAAGCAAACATATTCCGAGCGTCTACTTAGCTTGAGTATGTATTCAATGCACTACCGACGGCTTCGCGGTGACCTAATCCTTACCGCATTTTAACAGGGAAGGTTGGACCGGACTTGAGCTGGCTATTTAGCCCAGCTAGGTTGCCTTTTCTTCGCGATCATCCCGTGAAGCTACATAAGCCACGTTCCGACCGGATCAGGGCGGAAACTCGGTTATCGCGCAGAGGTATCGTGCGTTGGAACTCGTTTCCAGAAAGTGTATTCATTGAACCTACAATTGAGTGTTTCGAGCGTCAGTTAGACGCTCTTGGGTGGCGACACGAAACTTTTCCCTTCTCCTGACCAGATCCTTCTTCCAACTGAACGTCCACATTCTGTCGTTCTCCTCACTCTTTGGTCTTATCCTTCATTTAAATGACTTTCCTTCCTCTTTATCTTCCCTTTTGTTTCTACGTCTTCCTTACTTCACGTGACCTACACGGCGGGGACTGCTAATGCAAGGAAAGTGGGCAGTAATTGGTTTACCAGGGTTTGATTCGGGTGTTTCCTTTTAGATCCATCATGACCTCGTAGCGCCTTCTCATTTCCTGGCTCAAGAAGGAGCACTCAAGGTTTTTTTCAATCGTTCCAGTCGCATCTGAATCTTAAACTGCGGCTAGAGGTGTCCAAACTTGATGATGCCGACCTGCTACAGGCAACGCTGGACCGGTTGCACTGTCGGTCAATGGAGTGGCAACTGCCCATTAACCATGCTAAGTGTTCTGTCCTCCTAATTGGTGCCTCGCACCCCTTTGGTGTTTATCATATTGGGGGCTTGCTGCTCAGGAGATCCTTTTCCCAGATGACTTCTTTTCAGCTCTCATGTTCGATCAGTTCTAGAATACATATTGTCAGCATCCTATCCTCTCACGAAAGACGAATACATACTGATAGAGAAGGTTCAGCGGCGGGGATCGAGATCCCTCATGACACTCCGGAACCTGTCTTCCTCTCATTGCTTTCAAAGGATGAAATTGTTCTTCGTGTTATATCGACGTCGCCGCGGTGACTTGATTTACACGTGGCGTATTCTCCGAGGTGAGATAGGGGATGAGATACAACTATTTTCTTTGTGCGGCGCGTTCGACACGAGGCCACGGTATGAAGCTGTTTAAACCAGGGAAGCTTCGGGTTTGCTCTGATGTCACTTTCTCAACTCGTGTGGTGAATGACTGGCACAGTTTACCTGAGCTAGTCATCAGTGCGCAAACAGCGGAATGTTTCAAACGATTACTAGATATCTATTTGCTGACAAGCAAGGATCTTGCTGTGTTGACTGTGACCGTCATGCTCCCTTGTGGAACACTGCCGCATCAACTCACTTGGTCCCTACAGTGAGTGGGAAGTGTTGGGGTTGACAAAGGGTTTCGTTTCTGCTCTTTACAAATCAGTGAATTGGTGAACCAATGCATGCAATATCTTCCGTTGGCTGACAGTGTGTAGCGCGCCAGTGTCGCGGTAACATTTTAACAGGTAAGTTGTCGTCGAACGCGACCTTTATCGTGATGGTCGTTTCCTCTTCTCTGCTTTCCCATTTTGTCTTCGGTGTTATTGAAGTAGCCACCTAGCGTGTGCTTTCACCCCATCCATCTAGTCGCCTCGCCCTCGGTCCTCCTTCGGCAGCTGTGACAGTACCGCCCAGCTAGCTACGAGATGTGACAAGCACACCCTTCATCCCGCTCCGACACTTACTAGGTGGTTGTCCAGCCGCCTACGAAGTTTCTCTTTTACCTCTCAACCCCCTCGGTCTTTTATGACCCGCGGACACGGAAGTCCTCGAAATCCTCGACCTGACGCATACTACAGTGGTTTTATCAGGATCCACCGTAGATGGTTGAGCCCAGCGATACTGTCGAAGATGTCGTACAGTCATAGGAATGAAGCTGAATCATTGTGCAGATTGGGAAGCATTTGGAAGTAATTGTGTGCTTTGTCTGTTCGCGTGTCCATGTCCATGTTTGATGAGGAGTACATCGAATGCGCTGAACGTTTGTTGCTGGTGTTTGCCGATAAATACTTCTGTCTATGCGACAGGGAGGGGATGACATTCAATGTGCATTCAGTAACGCAGTTAGTTGACGGTGTGCGGTTGCACGGCTCATTAGATGACTTCTCCGCGTTCCCATTTGAATCTTACATACACGTGTTGAAGAGACATTTGCACAACCCCTTGAATACCGTTGCTCAGATTTGCTGCAGGATAGGGAAACAGTTATACATGCCTTCCTCATGCTGTGCAGGCGACAATCGTGAGCCTGGTTTTCAGATTCTTCGAGTGAGGAAGCACATCAGCTTTTGGGTAGCCGGCGCGACGTACTTACCTTGTAGTCCGGGTAACATCACACTGGCTAACACTTTGCCGTACGCGATCGCTGCTCTTTATATCGGCTCTGGAGCAGAGGGTTACGTAGAATGCCATCCATTCTCCGGGTTACGGGATCTGTACACGCACAGCTGGAAGTCGTCTAAAGTATTTCTGTTCACCGCTTCAGGCCTACAAGAGCTATCTGTGCGTAAGGGCTTATCATATGTCTCCTGCAAGTGCATATGTAAAACCGATAACGTTGGCCTAGCAATAATTCCCTTGCTGCACACGTTCATTCCATCCGATGTGCGACGAAGATTGGAATTCTGCAGCGAGGAATTCATTGCTGCCGGTAGCGAGCACGAATCTGATGCCGCCTAAAGTGAACACCTCATGTCTTCACTATGTGCACATCCACTTGTACTCGAACTGTAACATATTCCTCCACCGTGATGCAGCTTGTTATCAGGTCGCACCAGCGTAACCGCCTAGACAACAGATTTCACGCTAGTGCCACTGTACTTTGGAAATATTACGTATGTTATATCCATTTCAAATCGAGTGATATGTCCGGATTATTGCTTACTGCGATTAGAGGGAGATGGAGTAATGCGTCAGAACATTATCAGCTCCAGCTGGCTGATTGCTGATAGACGGCTCACCGTCATTCCAGTCGTTAGTGTACATCAGTATAAGGACGCCGTGCATCTACACAACCAAAGCCAGGCGATCTGACGCTTCATGTTGAGGTTATTCGCCAGACAAGATAGTTCACTTTCTTCACCATATATGGGAAGCTGATTTCGAGAAGGCCGCGTCCATGCTACATACACCTTGCGTGTCGGTTGTGGACAAGGAATCCGATGTAACCGCTTTATGGATACACCACCGAAACGGTTACCGTAAGATTTTTATTATGCTAACGGTGGTTTCCCTTTGTGGAACACCTAGTCCATTTATATCCGATGATGACGATAACGAGCCGCACAGTAGGATTAAGTGGCCTCAGGCAGCTGCTTACGGGCCACCGCCGAAACACAACTTTTTGCACTAGCCATCAACCTCCACCGCCATACAAGTTGCTGTCTCTACAAGTAATACGTTGACACCGAACGCCATGCCTTATGCAGGCGTCACACCCTTCAACTGTGCCTAGCGCTTCCACCGAGAGCATGGTGGCTGACCACAACGGCAAGATGTATATCACTGCTGTGGTTGTTTACCGTGTTAGACCGACCAGTGAACCCCGATGCGCAAGGCAACACTTGCCGAAAACTTGAGAAAGGTAAGCCATTTTAAGTATTTCACCAGCTGCAACTCAGTTTTCGACAGATTGCGCTACATCACTCTTGATGTATCTATCTTGAACATGTAGGTGTCCCTGATCTCAGGTATGTATGACAATCACATTACCTTATGTCAGCAGCCGTTCCAGATGCGGTCCGACGAATAGAGCGCAACTTGGACACCATGATGCAATGTATGTGTTCAATCACTTAAGCCGTGCACAACTTGGATCCAAGTGAGACCAGCACACTGCCCATATGTTGCACCTCAGTGGATCATTTGAAGACGTTGGAAGATGAGAACAAAAGGCAACAATTGGTAAGCGTTACTCTACCGTCAACATCACTCACAGACATGTGTGATGCAAAGCGTTGCGGATTCATCTTTGATGGACGCCACCTACCGAGTAATGAAGCGTTTGACGACGCGCTTCGTAACCATAGCACTTAACATCTCGGACGCCAAAAACAAGTTGGCGTTTGAACGTTCAACCACTTTCTATGTTTTGCAATCTAAGACTTCCCTTTCACCTAGCCGCAATGCTTTATCAGCCGCTTTGTTGCAGAGGTTGCACAGTGAAACCGTTGGTTCTATACGGGTGGCGGAGTGCATTCGCAACCACCTTAAAAATCTGCGCTTCCACTTGTCCCGCAGCCATACCTGTGAGTCCGACGAAGACCACACGGAGGTAACTGTGAATATGCCATGTGATGCTGATTCATTATGTAGGTGAATGAAAGTGCGGAGACACACAGCAAGGACGGAATTTCACGATGAACCGTTGTAGTATCATTTGTATACAATAGTAACATCATCTCATACTCGTACGGAGGCGTTCTCCCTTGATGCACGTGGTGTTGGTCGTTTTTCTTACAGCAGACACAGGGACGTCAGATTTTTCCGTCACTCAACACGTTATACCTGTGGGAGGTATATATGTATGGTATTATTATTATTCAACATCTGACCAATATACAATTGGCAGTGCTACAACACATAGTTAACAAAAACAAAAAGGGGAAATGGGTAGACAGTAGAAAGGTTTAGAAGATTTGCAATGTTAATGTGTTGCGCAGGCAGAGATCTTCCCGGTTGCCCAGGCCGAGGAAGAGGGTTGACTTAAGGGACCCCACCCCGAGCCTTTGGTCATAAAGATCTGACCCGCAAGGCACGGGGACGATTAAGGGAGACCGTTGACTTCCGGGTAGCTCATTCACCTTCTTTGTGTTCAGTAGCAGTTTACAGAGAAGCCGATGGCCAACTAGGTTGTTCATTCGCCCTCCGTTAAGTATTCCCTTCTGGTTACAGAAATGACTGCTCAGTGGCCATATAACCGGTCACATTGGCTTTGACAGCGCCGTACGAGCTCTTGTGGTATTTGCTGAAGAACCAGGTGACCAGCCCAAAACTCCCTACGCTCTGAGACGCGGCCGCTGATTGTCTGCGACGACTTATTCATCTCGCCTGCAAGTGAAATGAGACTTATTCGCAGTTATCTCCACAAGGAAAGCATTTCCCGATCCGCAACCTGGGGATGCTCCCGATGCCGTACAGCTCCGCCACGGGACATATGTATAGTGCGCATCGGGAATGCCCTTTTGCGCGTTTACCCAGCCTCAAATAACTTGGATATTGCGCAGCGCATAGTCTTGCCGCCGGTCGTCCACGCAGTACGTTTACCTTCACCGTAAGGTTCGCCACTATCCCCGTACTGTATTAGGACTCCAACGGTAGGCATCATTAAGGCTGCAAAAGAGCGTCTAGGGCCCTGCGGACAGCCAATCACTGTGGCTGTCAAGGTCGTGTGGCGACTGGTCCTACGCAGGACGCTTCTGGGTGATTGACCAAAAATCACGTCACTATGGTAGCCACCCATGAACCCTCACTTAGTTTTTGGCGTACCTTTTACAAACCGCGCCATGGCGCAGATTTTTAGCAATCTACGCCAAAGGTGCGCCATGTGCTGGCGCAACTTATATCTAAATTGCGTCCACTGAAAATCGTTTGTCAGGACGAGGAATAATGTCAGCGCATCTTGAGATGGGCTTCATGCCTCAAAGGGAAATCCTTTTATGTTCTGAAAGACCTCTCCGCAGAGGACCGGGTCAAAATGATACAGGCTGTTACTGAACTGCGAACGCGTCGAGCGAATGGCAAAACTGACCACATTGTGGATTTTCACATAGTGCAGAAAACCGAGAGTTCGATGACGGCCAATCCTTCTCCCCGGACCCCAAGCGTAAATTCTGGACTACGTGTAATACTTGCGAACGTGCGCTGTCTCTGAAACAACCTAGATACGATACAACTCCTTATTTCAGATCAGCGACCGGACTAATAGCGTTCACAGAGACCTGGCTGTCATCAGCGATGTCGGACTTAGGGGCTCAAGTTCCGGGGTATCAGATCTTTCGATCTGATCGCTCCAGTCGGAGATCTGGAGGTGGAGTAATCCTCTACTCGAAACCATACCTCAAGTCAACCTTCTCAAAATTTACTGCGGCAACAATGATACGTCAGAAGTATTCTGGTGTTGAATTCACGATAGCTTCCAGTCGCTGACGGTTGGAGTAGCCTACAGACCCCCCATCAACATCTGACTCCGGCATCAATTGGGAGGTCACTATAGTGACCTCGCCACGGAGTCCTTTGGAGCTCACCTACTCGAATGTAATCTCACGCAGCACATCCTAAACCAACACGGATGCTCCCAGGCCAAACACCACATTGTATGCCTGGTGCTCACTCCGACCCCATCTGACTTCTCTGATCTAACTATCCTCCATCCGCTGAGCAAGAGTGCCCACTCTGTTATCTACTTCGGCCGGTGGCCGAGTGGTTGGCACGTTTGCTTTCCAATCGTAAGGTCACCGGTTCGAATCCGCGTAGGGGTGGGCGTCCTCGCGGTATACTCAGCCCGCGCGCGACTGGTGGTGGTCTCGCGGCAGCGAAGCGCCGTTACGGCGTATAAGCTGACACATTTCATTCACTTCCAAGAGTCACGTCGTCGCAAATTCTGGTGAGCCGACCAGTCCAGACTTAAAGCAGCGGCAAGCACTCTGGATTGGAATATTCCACAGTCTTTGGATCTCGGCGGGCCATGACAACTACTACCATCAAGAGGATGATGCTTCTCAAACAATACGTACCAGACCGCAAAGTCAGACCTTACTCCAAAGGCCCTTGGATTTATAGGAAAAGCAGATCCTCAATGAAAAGACGACGGAAACAGTGGGACCACTTCAAGACCACACGACTAGCATCAAGTTACTCAGAGTACAAAACTGTAAAGAATTTTTGCACCTTGAAAAAGCGCAACAACCGACTTCACTATGAACAGAGCGTGGCCACGGAATCTCTAACCTGTTCCAAGAAACTCTTCTCATACTTGGACAGAAATGTCAGGGCGGGTAGTGAGATCCCCACGCTACACTTCGAGGAAGGCACTGTGCCTTCCGATGACGAGGAAAAAGCCAGCTTATTAGCTTCGCAGTACTCTTCAGTCTACTCAGTTGAGCCCCCTCTACACACAAACTCTGCCTGCACACTGTCTCTCTCGATGCAATCGAAATTTACCATGAAGTAGTGATGAAGCACCTCGAACTGGATCTGTACTCCTCTTGTCATGATGAACTGCATCCCGTATTCTTTAAGACTATATCCGAATACATTGCTGATCCCCTCTGCCAAGTATTTCGCCACTCTCTCGAAGTCGGCCGTTTACCTTCTAACTGGAAAGAAGGCATAGTGATGCCCAAGTACAAGGGCGGAGATCACCAATATCCGACGAACTATCACCCAATCTGCCTGACCTCCGTCCTCTTCAAGACCATGGAGCGAATCCTAAAACACGTGCTACAGCCACACTGAGAATTGCGACCTAATTTCTCCATCCCAACATGGCTTCCGGAAAGCACGTTCCTGCGTCTCCAACTTATTAGTCGCCAGTGAAACTTGGGCACAAGTTGTAGGTGCTCAAAAGCATATAGACGTGGTTTTCATCGACTTCAGCAAAGCATTTGACAAATTTCCTCACCAACGACTGCTGCTCAAATTTCAGGAGATCGGTGTGGCGGTCAAACTCTTCTCCTGAATCGTCGACTTCCTAAGAGACCGCAGCCTACGCGTGAAGATCCACCAAAGCACATCCGCCCCTGTGCCAATGACAGGTGGGGTCCCATAAGGATTGTAGTGACCTGTGTAAATTGTTTTAAAATATATTAAAATTAGTTTTCTTGTGTATTAGGAGGTTTGCCTGTCGGAACGTTGTTATCGTAACACAAATACGACATCCGTCTTTTAAGCGCGTGACTCGGGTCGTGAACGACGCACTCGACGTCCAGTTACATCTTCCCTAGTTATCTCCTTTAGTGCCCTATTTTTAGCATTAGCTAGCTCTTTTCCCATCCAATAAACATTTTCCCTAGCTTAATTTTTGTGTGTTCTACCCGTTGACTTTGGCTAACTGTCTAGTCTCGCACCGGATATATAGTGCATGATTGACGCGCTATAATTGGTGATCCCGCAAAAAATTTTGTTGAGTGTTATTAATTTTTCTTTTCAGATCCGCCTGATATCCCTTCTCTCCATCCCATTTTTATTTTGCTCGCTTGACGGCTTCAACTTTACCAGGATACTACCGGGTCAGCCGCTGCACATCCTCGATCTCGTGCTGACGTCTCCGATCTGATTACTCTACCACCAATCGGACATAGTGATCACTGCACTCTCTTCTTCACTTGGATGCACCCCTTAGTCACTCACAATCGAGGAGTCTACCGGCGGAACTTCTGGCGCACCGATCCTTCCCATCTAAGAACAGTGGCTAGCACCCAGAACTGGACCATCTCTCAAGATCTAGATGTTGATGGGGCCTAGAATCTTGTACGCTACAAAATGGACTTGGTCATTGAACAGATTGTCCCAAATTCTAAGAAGCATCCCGCGCGAGGGCCCCTTGGATTGCTCGATGATTGCGACTCCTCAGGAATCGGTGACGGAAACTCTGGGACCAATTCGAGTTCTCTCACCTAGCCTCCGAGTACTCCAACTACCAGACAATTAGGAACCTGTGTTCTCAAAAAAGCGTGAGAAGAGCCAAAGTTTTGAACTCAGTTTAGCAGAACAATCATTCTCCAGACGAAAAACTATACGCTTATCTTAACGAGAGAACCAAAGCTGGTTGTGGCATACCCGCTCTGTTATCCAACGCGACAGGAATCCCGCTCTATGAAGATGAGGAGAAAGCGAACCTATTTGCCCGGCAATACTCATCCATATACTCACCACAAGCTCAGCCGACCAACATACGAGTCCACGCATCTCTACTGTCTAGAACTTACGGAATTCAGGTCGGACAGATTTTGAATTTCTACTTGAATTAAACCCGAATTCCTCACCTGGTCCTGATGGCTTGCATCCCCTTTTTCTCAAGACAGTGGCTGCCAAGTCTTTCAGCTATCTTTAAAGGCTGGTCGTTTACCCATTGACTGGAAAACTGGGATCGTAATGCCTAAGTACAAGGAGGAAATCGCCAAGACACTGTGAACTATCGTCCAATCTGCTTAACATCCATCGTCTGTAAAGCCATGGAAAAGATCATCAAAAGCGCTCTACAGAAGCACTGCGACGAAGATAACATCATTTCCTCTACCCAGCACGGTTTCCATGAGGGACGCTCCTGCTCCACCAACCTACTAATGGTGAGAGAAAGGTGGGTGAAGCCAGTTGATGCCAGACAACGTATATATGTAGTTTTCATCGATTTCAGCAAAGCG